CTTTCATGATCAGATAGTAAATTTCAGTATTTGCGAAGTAAAATAACTCAGTGAAAAACTTGCATTACCTTCATTATGAAACCTGATTTGCGGTTACACAAATTTATCTAAGGTTAATATGATGAGAGAAAAAATACTTCATTTCAAAATATTTGATGAATAATGAAAAACCTATTCAATCTATAGTTGTTATGAAAAGTTATGTATTAATTCAAATAAGATGTACTTTGAGAAATTATATACACAATTTGAAGTATAACACTTTATGATGCACACATAATGAATACAAGTATTTTAACTCTTGAAACAAATGATTTAAAGATTTTAAAATTATTTGATTATGTTAAATTTTTGAAAAATAATTCTAGAAGTGAATTATAATTTTGAGTGCTGATAGAATTGTATTTTGAAAATTCATAAAGTACACAAAATGTAAAATATTTATTGTTGTAAAATTCACTACTTTCATTTATATTAAAAGGTTTAGTTTAAAAGCTAGTTGATTCATTATGAACTAATTAATAAAGATTATTGTTTTTACTCTGCATTGAATCTAAAATGGTAAAATGGAGACACTTATGAATTTAATAAACTTATTGGAAAATTTCTGTCAAAAGAAATTCATCAATATTTTGCTCCGTAAACTCACCTCATGGGGACAACTATGTTTGTCAAGAAGTGTTTTAAAATAATTAAATAATCCTATTTCCAAATTATTTGAATAGATCATAATTTTTCCAATTATAGTTTATTCTAGGTTAATATAAATTATAATTTCATTTTTTGTCTCTCAAAATAAATGCCTTTCTTAATCACTTCTTCTGTAATAATGTTTGAATTTTCTTTTGCTAAATATCACAATTTTTTTTTGCATTTGAGCAGTCTTCATGATATTGAAATTCGGGCACTGGCATTGAGCATCAAAACTCAACTTACTAATCTCTCAATTCTGATTCTACTTTAAAGTGTTTTAAATAGAATAAAAAAATTCTGAAAACCCACTCTATTAAATTACAACCTTTATTGAGATATATGTGTTAAAGTTATGCATTTTAGAGAAAACAATTGGAATTGAATTTCACAAAGGATATTAAAACTAAATATGCTTTAAGAGTTACAATTTTTAAGAGCTGGAGATTATCTAGAATATTAGGAAAAGCAAGAAACTAAATTTCTACACAACCATTTCAAAATAATTTAAGTAGATTAATGAGATTAATTGATTTATATATAAATTAATTGTTTATGAGTAATAAATAAATTAAATGTAATAGAGAAATGAATAAAAATGTAGGAACAAGGAACGATGTTTATCAACAACAGATTATCGAATGCTTTGAAGATGTATAAAATCAGATTGAAGTAAAATATGTGATTAATCAATTTACTAGTGTTCATTCAACAAAATGGACTTTTATTTAGATTCACTTGTAAATAATACTTCTGATTCATTGAATCTAAATACCTTTTAAAAACAACATTGTATACCTATATTGAACACTCCTTTAATTAAATTTGAGAATTCAAACTTTGCTTAATCATTATGTTAAGACATATAATCATTAATCAAACTTAATATTAAAAATTAAATTAAAACCAAAGAACAATCATTAAATTAAACTAATCAATTAAATCTCAAACAATTCACTTATCAATTAATCCCACAATATTCAATTTCATAAACTTAATTTTGTTTTACAATAGCTATTAATGAAGATTGTTCAATATTATTAGTTGGATGTAAGAGTCAAATAAAAGTATTTGAATTCAAGTAAGGAATCACAAAACAAACTTAAATTATAAGTGATTATTAGAATGATGTATATACTTTAAACTTCATGAAGAAATCAAATTAGTTTATATCTGGGAGTATAGATAGTTCTATGATTATATGGTAATTAAATTAAAATAATTATTGGATTCCCTTACACAAATTAAATGGACATACTGGTTCTATATATTGTCTAATATTAAATAACAATGAAGATTTAATTGTATCAGGAAGTAGTGATAAAAAAATTAAATTTTGGATGAAGAAGAATGAATGGTCGTGTTACTAAACAATCAAAGATCATTCTAGTGATGTATATGGTTTAAGTTTAAATTTATAATAAAATAGAGTTGTATCTTGTGGTTGGGAGAATTTAATATTAATAATGGAACAATAAGGACAGAATAAAGAATGGATTGTAATATAAAAGATTAAACTTGAATAATGTGCATTGCGAGTATGCTTTATTGATAATAGTATGTTCGCATTATCATTATATCAGAAACAATAGATATCTATTTTTGAGATGAACAGTACAAATTAATAGTTACAAAGACTACAGATATTCATGTAAAATGTGGATCAGATTGTAATAGTTTATTTCCTTAATAATATATAAATTCAAAATGCATTCTTGTGAGTAAGAATGGCTAATATGTCAATTTGATAAGGAAAACATTAAATGGACAGTTTGTAACTCAATAATCTATTCATTTTAATACAAATTCATTATTTGGAGTAATGAGTGATAATGGAGAGTATTTGATCACATGGGATAATCAATCAAATTAAATACAAATCAGAACATATTAACAATTATGAAAAATATTACATTTAATATCTGTATAATTTTTAATTTAAAAGAAAGTTAATTAGATATTCTTTTTCAGTTACATGGAATTTGAATAAATAGTTTTATGATTTTGGTTTAAACTTTCAGTTTAAAGATTTTGATTGGCCTACTAATATAAATATTTAATTAATTACATATTTTACCAATAGCCAACATCACCCATTTCATAGTGAATTTAATATTTTCAA